GCCGCCCCCGCCGGTAAAGTCAAAGTCGCAGGTAACACTAACGTCACTTTCCTCGGCCTAACCGTCCTCATCTTCCTGACAACGCACTAAAACCTCCAAGCCTGCCTCCGACCTGCCTTGTCCTTCTATGTCTTTGTTGCATTGTTTTTCATGCTCCCTCAAAAAAAAACAAAAACGTTTTTCCCCCCTTTCCACTCAACTGGGAAACACCTCCATCTGACGCTTGGCTAACTGTCCAGTCTTGTTCCATGTGATGTTTTCTTCTCTGCTCTTTGACTTCTGTGAAGTATCGTCATATAATAACAGTGATATGTCTGTCAGCTCATGTTTAAATGTCTGATCACAGTCTGCAAGTAGCTCAACAGGGGATCCTGGACAATATGTTAAATGTGACATCTGTTTTGTCGTTGTTTTTGATTGTCAACTCACTTTCTAAAGTAGACGTACGATGTCGTTTTTTTTTTTTTCTTCACAATTTGAAAACGGTTCCCTGGTACCATGGTGGCTAGTGATTAGCTTGTCTGCTTAAACAGTTCTGAGGTTCCGGTTTTGAGTCTGAGTTTGTATTTTCTCCCTGTGCTTGTGATGGCTTTCTCCCACTTTCCCAAAAGACGCCTTTCAAGTTGACCGAATACTCTAAATTGCCCGTAGGTTGGAATGTGAACAGTCCGGAGTGTACCCCGCCTCTCTGTTAAATGTTATCTGAAGACTTGAAATTGTGGCGAACGTGATTGACCTCGTCTCTCTCACCAGCATGGGCGGAGAAACCCCGCGTGAGGGCATAATGATGTCAATTGGTTGAATTGCCATCATAATCTGGCAAAATCCAGAACCCTGCGTCCACACGCGGGTTTTCAGAAACACGCAATTCACCAAAGTATGTATTTGGTTGTTGAATTTCATACTGGGCGAGCCGGCACTCGACTTCGACATAAAATGTCCTCTTGAATTAACTCTCTTTTACCATGTTTAGAAGTACAATGTTGTTGTAAATGTGGTGGTTGATGCACATAAAGCAATATTCTGATTGTATAGAAAATGAAAGAGGGAATGATTTCGGAATAGACTTTCTTGTCTAACGATTTTCCATGAGGAATATTTCAATGCTGGACTTTATTGGTGTACGCACAAACCAAATGAATGGTTTTTTTTTGTTTGTTTGTTTGTTTTGTTTTTGCCAAGCAGCGACATGATTTTGTGTCCTTCTTTGGTTACGAGTCAACAATAAAAATAAAAAAAAACACATTATATTCATATCTGTATGGTAAAACATGGCAAGATCAATGTGTCGAAATGTGTCTCTGGAGTTTTTCCAAAATGGCAAGTAAAGCGTATTCTAATGCAGTATGATGTGAATCGACACTCTGTGTTCCAGATGTTTGCTTTAAAGAACCATGCCTCAATGGTGGCACTTGCACGGAGCGAGAGGGCCAGATTCTGTGTCTTTGCTTACCCACCTACGGGGGAGATCTGTGTGAGCAGGGTGAGCTCACTCAAGTTTGGCTTACTTGATCAGGCATTTCTCAGTCGATGCCCACTCCACACTCTTGTTTTTTTTTTTTCCAGATCTGGAGAGCTGCGAACCAGGCTGGGACAAGTTCCACGGCTTCTGCTACCGACACTTCAGCCAGCGTCTGAGCTGGGAGGTGGCCGAGCAGCACTGCCGCGTGCAAGGTGCCCATCTGGCCTCCATCATGACCCCCGAGGAGCAGGCCTACATTAACAGTATGACCACCACCCATTTGTCCATGTATTGTATTTACACTTGGTGTTCTTAAGAAGTGATTATCCTTCTCATGTTGTTTTGTCATCACCAGGCAACTACAAAGAGTATCAGTGGACGGGCTTGAACGATAAGACCATCGAGATGGATTTCAGGTGGTCTGACGGCAATCCGTTGGTGAGTCGTTGCTGTTACTGTTTTCATCCAATGTTCAGTGTTGAATTTGTACTTCTTTAACACTAAGACAGCTGGGATCGGTTTCAGTTCACCCAGGAGTCTAATATCTATCATGCTGCAGAAAAATGATAGATGAAGACTCAACAATCTACAACCTCAATGTAAATCGAATTTTAAACATGTATTTTCTGCTGTGTCTGTACAGTTGTACGAGAACTGGTACCGAGGGCAGCCTGACAGCTACTTCCTGTCCGGTGAGGACTGCGTGGTGATGGTGTGGCATGACGACGGCCGCTGGAGCGACGTGCCCTGCAACTACCACCTGGCCTACACCTGCAAGAAAGGCACATGTGCGTATTTAGCACACTCAAGTCAACACTATTTACATGTAAGGTGCATCGGTTTAGATTTTTACCACATTCCAACAGCATCATGCGGCCCACCGCCGAAGGTCCGCAATGCCTCCATCTTCGGGAAGCCTCGGCAACGCTACGAGACAGACAGCGTGGTGCGTTATCACTGCTCTCAGGGGTTCCAGCAGAGACTCAATCCACTGATCCGCTGTCGGTCTGGGGGCAGCTGGGAGAGGCCTCAAATTCAGTGCATCCCAGGTGAGACCGAAGAGAAATATTTGATGGTTAGCTATTGCTGAGATAATGAAAAAAAATGAAACATAACATCTCCTTTCAGAGCATGGAGGTCTAAACCTTGACGCTGAAATTATGTCATCGACGGATGGCAACTTGGCCGCCTTTCACGACGGTTTTGAAACCACCACAGAGACGCCACTTTACTGGGACATCAAGTTTTAAAAGCACCACTCGGCTTACCGTACAAACCACATTCTGCTGTCCTCCCTTGACAAGGTGAAAAATGTGCTTTTACCGATTAATGTTACTCACGTGTCAAACTGTTTGATTCCTTTTGTTATACACATTGCAGAATGGTGCTAATACATCAGTATTGCATACCCAACGTGCTCATGTTTTCTGTCTGTCCATATCAAAAGTGTAAAGTAACATACCCGCTTTTTCAGAACAATCCTGCGCACATTTTTTGGAGACACAGTTTTGTTCGTCAGCTTTATGTTGTAATAAAGTTTTGTAGAACAGAGCAAAGAATAAATGGTTCTCTTCTTCCAATGCGGTCTATGGTCGTCTTTGTTTATTGGGCAACAATGGATATCACCGAAGGGACGCATCATTTTTTTTCTTGCATTTGTACATAATTCAGTTACTAATATTGACTGTCATTAACAAAAAGAGAGATGAAACTTTTTATTTTGTAAGACCCTGAAAGTGTCTGAAAGGAAGAAAAAACAAAATTATTAAACATATAAGAGGACAATATGGCCTCATTAATGACGTAATATTCATTTTCCGATCCACTTTATCCTCAGAAGGATTCGCGGAGGAGTGCTGGAGCCTATCCCAGCTGTCTTCGGGCAGTAGGCGGGGCACACCCTGAACCGGTTGCCAATGCCAACCAATCGCAGGGCACACACATACGCACACCTTGGGACAATTTGGAGTGTTCAATCACCAATTCAATTACCTCTGCATTGTGAGGTCGACGTGCTAACCGCTGCTCACCGGGCTGCCTACTTTCGTATAGCAACACGAAAACGCTCAACCACTAAAAACGCTGCGCCCCGACTTGGTCACACACCAGGAAGTCTTGTTAATTATGAAAATGAATGCGCCATAAGTGGCCATAACATACATACAAGTGTTGTTTGAGAAGGTAAGAGTTTGATGTTATGGTTTCTTTTTTCAAATGTGTTTATTGATAAACTAATTATTTTCATACCTGTGTTTCTCACGTGAACGTGTGTTCGGATTCAAGCCAAAGTGTCCACTTTGGGCGATTGTTTTTCTTGTATGTTGTCGTTTTAATTTTAAGAAGGCGCCTTTTTAATTTCAGTCAAATATAAATAAATTCACTACCAATGAGATACACGTTTAGACGTATGTGTGTGAGTGTATAACTAAGATTTTTTTTGACAGGAGACTCGCCGTCTTGCCTTTTCAACACAAGATGGCAGCATTGCTTCAAGTTCCGAGGGAAACAAAAATGGTCGTCGATACACGTCACGAGCTCCTCGGCCATGATCGACATAAAGTCATGGTACATGCTAACATGATTTAAACATTCAGTTTTTACATTTGACTCGTTACTTTATGTTGAACGTTTCTTATTCAACGGGCTGCTGTCCAAATGAAAGAGGCAATGCGACACAACTGCAGTCATCATGAGTGTCATGATCGGTTAGGCTGGACAATATGGTTTGAAAGTAAAATGTCTAAATTCCGAACTGCAATCCACTTTACCTTACTTCATGTGAAGTAAACATAAAACATAGCTGCGCCCAACGTGGGGCTCGAACCCACGACCCTGAGATTAAGAGTCTCATGCTCTACCGACTGAGCTAGCCGGGCACTTGTCACAAAGATGCTACATGAAGCCTTTTCTTTATGTTGCGTGTAAATTAAAAACGAAAGGTTCAGTTTGTGACAATTATTTTGCAACGTAATTTGGGACTTTGAATTGAGCGGAAAAAGGTGTGCCGCCCAACGTGGGGCTCGAACCCACGACCCTGAGATTAAGAGTCTCATGCTCTACCGACTGAGCTAGCCGGGCGATGCTGAAGTTGGTTGCTCTGCCTACTAAATTATCATACTGCTGCGTAAATTCTGCGGCGGTATGCGTTTTAATTGAAAATGTATTCTCAATTATCATACCTGGATAAATACAAGTTAAATGAATACAATAAATGTCAAGTATCTATCTCTAACAGCGATTAGCTTGCGTGTGTGCGCGCGTGCGTCTTTTAAACCATCACAGAATCACATCAGTGATGGTAGAGAGGGAAAATTGATGATGAGCGTGAACCCAGAAATGTAGCTTGCTGCAACATGTACACATGTAAAACACTTTATTCCTGGAACAAAATCAAATGGACCGGTATGACTGCTTTTACTGTCATCTCCAAAGGTGCAAATAGTGTAGTTAAAATGTATTTGTTGACATGTTACTTAAAACATTGCCTGTGCAGTTAATTTTATGATGTCAGCAGTTTTGGGTCTGTAGTTACAACCGTTTTGAATGTGGAACAACTGCAAGTCAAACATGCTCCACTTTTATGGTTCCATCAGTGTTGTTTGGCTATGTGAGACATATAAAATGTCCATAAGTAACCGCAAATGCTTCCTTTTATTCCTATTTACACGTGACTTTTGACCTAATGATCTGAAGTCATTGATGTCCACCTGCTAAACCGACGCGTCCATCAAACGTGAGAGAGTCGCATTTCAACAAACACTGGCGATCACGTCCTCATCGCTGCCGTGTTCATCTGGTGCTCCCCTTGTGGCATTAACATTTGAAAGACCCTCCATCCTGTGAACTTATTTGAACTCTGACCCTCTCCTCTGTGCGTCACAGACAAAAAAAGAGAGAGAAGCTGCAGCTGGGATGGATGGAGGACTACAAGTCGGTTCTCACCAGCAACATGGCAGCAGTAGACTCCCGTCCATGATGAGCTGTCGCGTCTGGTCCCAGGCGACAAAGAGTGAGTGGGAATAAGTGGTCATTTCAAGTGCTCCTGACTTGTTTTCACCGTTAATTATGCACCGCTCTCGGCCCCTCACTCACATACTCGCCTATTTTAAACGTATTGCGGGAACAGACACACGAGCGGTGCAGACAAATCCAGTGCCAGTTGTAATTCTCTTGTAATATTAATGAATACTTTCCAAGCAGCCAGGCTTGATTTACAGATCTACATGCTATCTCTATACACGTCCTCTGCACAGTATAAAGATGATCCTGCATTATGTCGCAACTAGCATGCCAGTTGACACTGACATGTTGCTCTTTCACAATGTGGTCTTCCTAACTAAAACACCTACCAAGGCACATCAACGATTTCTCACCGTTTATCCATATTACTCCTTTTTAATTTTGTATCAAACTCCAGTTTCACTTGAAATAAAATGGCCCCGGGCTAATGTTTGCGGAAAATACAGCACTCGAGGTTCTTACTCACTGTTCTATACTTGAGTGTCCTACTGGGATATGTTTCAATATCGGCAAACCAGAAAAAATATATTAAAACAATATTAGCTTTAACCTCTTAGGTGGTTAAAACGTATTCAGTATTTAACTGTAATTATGAATATTTTCCAATGAAACTAATGTGTTAATCTGAAGTGGATGATGCTCCTTTGATATTTGTCTGTGTATGAAAATATATAAAGTGATTTTTTTTTTCCACCGGGAAGCTTCTTTAAATATATCCATAATTTCTGCACACACACACACACACACACACACACACACACACACACACACACACACACACACACACACACACACACACACACACACACAATTCAACCTCTTAGGTGGTTAAAACATATTCAGTATTTAACTGTAATTATGAATATTTTCCAATGAAACTAATGTGTTAATCTGAAGTGGATGATGCTCCTTTGATATTTGTCTGTGTATGAAAACATAATATAAGTGATTTTTTTTTCCCATCGGGAAGCTTCTTTAAATATGTCCATAATACACACACACACACACACACACACACACACACACACACACACACAGTATGATGCAGACAGTTTGAAGGGCCTCATCTCGCCCGCCTTTTCTTTGGCTGTCTGCACTGTCTGACCCAGGCTCTTTATATGTCTAATTAAGCAGTCAGACCCTCCAGCGTGCCATGACACGCTCACGGCTGATTTCTGCTCAATGTTTTGTACCCCCTGATCGGGTTTTTAACACACCGACCGAGGCGTGCGCTATTGTTTTGTTGCCATCTTGCCATCAGTGGTCTGGGAACGTTTGCTCAAAGGTGGGCCGCCAGAGTGGTGGTGTGCAACTGCATGGAGATCCCAGGAGAAATTGCATAGCATTTTTTGGGCTAAATGAATTGCTCCCATGATTCACGGGGTCGTTGTCATACATTCAACGTATCAGCAGAGTCTCCACTATGTCGCAAAGCCCCAAAGAGAGGTACAATTTGGAGTGGGACAATTACGACGTCTGAAAATAACCATAAAACCAGAAATTGAATTTTTGCAACATTCAGTCGATATAAAAGTCTACACAGCCCCATTTAAATGTCAAGTTTTTGCTTTATTAAAAAAAAAAAAAAAACAACAACGGTATTTTATAACTTTTTTCACCTGTGACGTGTGCATATCATTTGATTTTTTAAGAGAAAGTAAACATTTGAAATCACCCTCTTTTATAACTGGGATGTGGTTGTGTTCAGAATCAAGCAATCACAATCCCTCTATATTGTAACTGACACGAAGGAGTAATTCTGCTCACGTCTTTCCCTTCTTAGGAGGAGTTGGAGTTGCTTGTCTCCTTTGAGACATATACGCATCAGGGGTGTAGTCTCTGAATATGGCAACTAAATTCAGTTTCCAACTCTAACTGCTTTTGTAAACGAACTTCCTCCTTTTCCCACCTATGTTGTTAGTGGAAGCAGTACATGTTAGACGGGATAATCTTTGAACTACAGAAGCCGGTCAAAATCGGTTAAAAATGTCATCACGTCTAGTTATCTTTTTCATAAATATTTTTTTTCTTGTCTTCTTTTTTTTTTTTTTTTTTGCTAGAAGTGTCGACATTTTTCTGACTCTGGCACACCTTCAAGTCAGACTATATTGCCATATTAAGGTCTTATTAGGGGGCAGGAATTGAGCATGACATGAAGAGGTGTGACCTCAGGGGCAGATGGACAATGGTCACTTCCTTCCTAATTCACCAACTGACAACACATCATTGACCTGCTTGTGTGTGTGTGTGTGTGTGTGTGTGTGTGTGTGTGTGTGTGTGTGTGTGTGTGGTTTCAGAAGAGAGATGGCTCAGCCTGACCCTCTCAGATGGCCTTTTAAACTTAAGTTTATTGACCTCTGACCTGGATGGAAGTAATTTCCTCATTGAGTGGCAAAGATTGTCCATCTGAAAACACCTGCCGCATTCCGCCGCTTGCATTTCGCACCAAAGCCATGTGAATTTTTTTTTTGTCTTATTTTCATTAGATTTCTTTGTTGATTGGCGAGGAGTAATCAGTTTTTCAGCAACTTTCACATAGATTCCACCCGACACATCAGAGCTGTAACCAAAGACCTATATGCAATTATAACCACAGTAGTAGAATGAGAAATGAAATAACGAAGGAAGTTCTTTTTAGGATAAGAAATTCGGGTGAATTGTTTTCTTTCGGTTAATTGTTTTCTTTCTGTAGCTTTTTTGAGATATTTTAATATTCATTTTTATTCAAAATACAATTTAAATGTTCACCATCGTAAAGTCACACTGTAACTTTAAGCGTTTTGTGTTCATTTTAATTAGGCTATTGAAAAAATAATTCATCTTTTTTTTTTCCAAGTGCAAAACGTAATCATTCACATTAACCTTTAAAATTGTATTTTTATATTTCGCTTCACTGAAATATATTTTTTGGCTCACATTTGTCAGACGACAGCTTTTTTGCAGGGATACATTTTGGCTCTCATCTGCCAGCATTTTGCTCTTGAACTTGAACTTGTTTCCCTCACGCCACCCAATTTCACAGCACCCAGGAACCCCTCAAGACCCGCCCCCGTCCACCCCCATGCACCCTCCCATGTCTGTCTTTGTGAAGCTGTCTTCCTTGACTTTCCGCATCCCCAGTCTGGCCCTCTGCAAGTTCGCCGTTCCCCCCGCCTGTCCCGCGTAGTCATTCTTCACCATAGGGTCCCCCCCGCCCTCCTACAGGGACTTGCTAGGCAGCATGCTAATCAGGCTCTTGCCGGCACTTCCCACGATTTTTCCCTCCCAGACGTGAGCTTTTTGTCTTGTTATTGATTCCATTATAATCAGACGGCTCCCCGTAACTTTTTCTGCTGTCTGGGCCAGCGGGCCCTACCTCTCATATGGCCCCCCCTCATTCATCAGGACTCGGGATCTCGTTAATAAGTCAGAGTCGGGGATACACAATCTGAAGTAGTGCTCAGAGTTGCAATAACGATGGGATTTCAGGAAAAAAAAAGTTGCTGTTTTGAGGCCCCCACTACTTGTGTCATGTGAAGTACATGCCAGGAGTTATTATATAGATCTGTTAAATGATGTCATTTGAACATGAAATTAGGTTTGGATGTTAAAAACAAGATATTTCACGTCTAATTTATGATAACATGTAAAGTTCAAATGACATCGAATCCGATCTGCATATAAATGTCACTTGTTGCAAGGCAGCGTTTGTGGAGCTCAATCCTAACAGCCTCATAAGCCAATGAAAAAAATGATCAAAAAGGTTCTCATAGGTTATTCCATCTATTTAAAATCATTCCGCTTCACAACTTCTCCAATGAAATGTCAAAGAGCTCACTGATGGTCTCTTCTCATTTTGATGACAGGCGGTTTGGTAAATTGGCCAGGTACTGCATGCACTATGAACATATTCAAGAGTATTTAAGACACTCAAATTTACGGATATAATTTTAGGTAGATTTTTTTCACACTTCCACATATTGCTAGATATGGTTTGAGGGCAAAATCATATCTGCCCTGTAGGCCAATCAAAAAATAATTATAGATTATTTGAAGAAACAAAAAGAGGACGAACCCTTAATACAGCGTTCACAAACCCTCTCGGAGTCCTGAATAAAAACAGATGGCGTCTCTTTCGTCACAGCTCCGATACACCATTGTTGGGGGCTCTCTGTGCGCAAGAGACTTATGGCTGAAGTCTTTTAGGGACTTGAAATTAGTCCTTGGATCTTTTTCTCCCTTAAGTCTCACTCACAGCATAACAGCATCCGGAAGCAGAGGCCCGTGCCTCGCCAAGAACAGCCGCACCGTGTTTTACTCCAGGCACATCAAGATGTGACTTTGGCTCACCTTTGGAACTTTGCACGGCCTGCAGACATCGATCAACCAATGTGAATAGAGGGGTGGTCGGAAACATGCCCGGCAACAGCTGCTTCTGTTCAAGCGCAATGTATTTATCATTTCATGTGAATTCACGAAAAGCCACTTCATGTGTGCCAAATAGTTTTGATACAGACACATCTTCATAAATTACAATATCACGGAAAACTCCAAAGGGTGTAGGATGCAATAGTCTTGAAACAATAATTGATTTTTTTTTTCATTGAGAAAACAGGTGAGATCTAAAACTCTTCCACAATATTCAAATTTATTGAGATGCACCAGAGAACTGTGGTGGGGGGGAAGATATAGACATTGTCTCACTGTAAACATTTTTAATTGAGCGCATCAACAATAGTAACAAAGTTGCATAGAACAAAGTCATGTGCAAACAGAGCTTAGGGTGTGTGCAATAGATGGTCATAGGTCATTTTCGAAGATAGAATCCCTCCAAATATACAATACCATGACATACTCCCAACACAAAACGTTTCTGATGACATTGATATCAAATAGACTCGTAAAAACTTCAAAATTGCACATATGCTCAGATATTCGAGGATTCATCAACTTGGTGAACCCGTATCAAGCCGTTAACGTGCAAACCCAACAAACAGTTAAAATGTGCAAAGAACTCATATTGCAAAAACTACATACTCTTTTCTTTTTGCATAGGTAATAAGCATTCCATGGTGATTTTGAGCACTGCATTCTGCCCGGTGTGCAAATTCATGAGAACCAAATACTGTACGAAACACCAGATACGTTGTGCAGTTGCAGATTGTCAAACATTTGATTGTTCAAGTCAAATCAAACCAAATCATGAAATCACCAGCGTTGTACAAATGAAACATTTTTAACGAACATATGTCTCGTTCCCTTCAATTCGACAAATACACTCTTATTCTAATGAGTCCCAACAGAATTGCATCGCTACTGAATACAAATAATTACGCTAACACGATCACATGTATCTTTACAAATGCTCTATTTGTATTTTATTTTTTTAATGATATGTAACATAATCATAAAAGCATTTCACAGCATGCATCCAGTCTCCTGTCCATCAGAACGAGGTCGGTTGGTCCATGTCTTGGTGTTTTTCCCCACTTTTAATCGCTTTCAAAGTCCAGAAAAAGTGTCCAAAACACCCTGTAAGAAGACAGAGTAAGTACATTAAATACAGCATGTATCTACAAACCTAAATAATATAAAAGATAAATACATGCCTATGTATTGTAAATCACACATATACCGAAGAGCTACCCAATGTGTTAAATATACAAAGCGTTGTATCGTTGCCCCCCCCCACACACACATTGTAAACTGTAGTTTACTGCCCGCAGATGGCACACTAATATGGCCGCCAGCCTCCTGCTCCTCCTCATCCCTCCGTCATTGTCTCAACTACCCAACACGTTTTATCCCACGCTCTTATTCGAAGGGGAGGTTACAAGCCCTGATTGGGTCACCATGGCAACCGCGCATCGGCGCGGTCCTGATTGGCGTATGCGCCGGGCTAATTATGCAGCTCGTATGCTTAAGAAGGGGGAAAAAAAGTGTAGGCTGTATTGAAATGTAGAGCTAAATAGAGCATCGCGTGGTTATAACAAATGAGGAGGAAGCCCTCGGGTTATTTATTCATCGCCATATTGCATATCATAACCAAACACATTTGCACAGTTTGGTGTTTTTAGTCACTTCACAACTTCAGTAAGTGTGTCGTGCAATTTCTTGGGCACTCACCATAACAACATTGTAGAGCAGGAGGAGCTAATGGCTAGAGCTAATTTTGTGTAAACAGCAACGACACAGAATAGGAAGAGATGTAGTCAACCTGACAATTTTTTTGTCAAGGAATGACGACACCTATGTGAAAGGAGCTGCAATCCTAGATTAGTATTCTACTTTGCTGGGTTCTGTGTAAAAGTCAAAGATTGGTAAACCTGATGCAGCAATGTTGCAGAATCTATGCGTTAAAAAGACGCCCCTCTTACACCGCCTGAGACGTTGTAAAAGCTTTAGAGAGGCAGAATGCTGCCGATGAGTGAGAGGATTCCGCAAAAGATGAACGGGGGTGTGTAAATGTTGCGGCATCTCTGTGTGTCTGTGTGTTTTACTTGGAAAAGCACCATTTTTAAAAGCTAAGTCAACATGGCAATTTTCTGCCTTCAGAGGGAAGCATAGCAAAGAGGACGGTGAATGACTATTTTCTTTCTCACACATGACACTGGAGTCATCTAATTATCTGACTGCAGGTTGCGGTGTGAAAGTGCGTGCAGTAATGTGGCTATTTTGCTGGATCTCCGTGTGAAACAGGCTTGTCTGTGTTAGGACTGTGAGAACGGAATCAGCGGGGTAGGGGTCTGCATGTTAGAGACAGGGTGCCCGGTTGGCCGGCGGGGGGCCCCACGCGGACAATGGCCGCCATTGTTTACCAATCTCCCTTGTCCATTAATCAGGGCCATCCAGCTCTAATTGGCATTTTGGTTAAGCTGGTCGCCAGACTCACGCTCCCCCCACTGGCCTAAATAATGGCGTTACGCCACAAGTGCCGCCGCGCATTTGGGAGGACAAAGTGTCGCTTGTCTGAGGGCCCGGGGAAGGACACCCCCACTCCCCCCAATAAACAACCCCCGCCCCAAAGAAACCTCACACACAAGCACAAAGAAGGCCTCTGACTATTGAGATCTCACTGTCGCGGGCCGCCTCGCCTCGTCTATCTGTAGCCCCCCACCCCATCCTCTTCTTCTTCTTCCCACGTTTACTTACGACACTTTTTCCTTCCCACGCACACAAGTCATCCTGAATCATTGCACCGTGTTTAGATGAACCTCCCGCTTTTATTATCGTCTGAAAATGCCAAAAAAATTGCGACATTCTTGCACTTGGAGGTGAAAGTCAATGCCTTGGCCGAATAATCTCTATGGCAACTCGCATGTGTCTACCCTTTGCAAGGGCCGCACAAAAACGTACGCCATAGTCACGTAAATTAAAATCATAATTAAAGTAGAATATTTGGATTAAAAACTATTCTAGGCCATAGATCATAAAAAAAAAAAATCCATTGAAAAACTTTCAGTCTGGCTGTAAACGAGTATGGCTTCTCATACCATGTGAGCAAACTATTTCATTGTGCGCCATTTGGAACCTCGAAATGAGTTATCCTATTTGTATGAAAAACATTTTTAGGCCATAAATTCAAATCAATCAAATGAGAAACAGTAAGTGTAGCTCTAACCGTGCTCCATGTTTGATCAAAATGTCGTATGCCAGGACCACTGAAAACCAAGGGCCCCCTATATGTAAGTATTTGCTCAAAGTAGCATGTGCGGACTGCGTCAAATTCTCTTGCGGGGATCCCCACAGCCTTTGACAGCATTGGCAATTATGGTACCTTGCAGTCGTAGGCGTTTTTTTGCTCCTTTCTAAAACCAAAGAATCCGCGCAAAGGCTCCTCAACGTTACGTAGAAGTGATCCAAAATGTCGGACAACAAACAAAAGCGCTCGTCCGTTAGCCTCAGCGTGCCGTGACGCCCAAGCCACAGCTGCCTTAAAAAATGGCAGGCGCCCAAAAACCATCAGCGCTCAGCTTCTTCCTTTCTCATCCCCCTGGGGCGGGGTGGTGTGGGCTACAATTAACACAGTGGCGGTAATTAACACCTTTTCCAGTCTGGGCAATGGCGCGGAAAACCATGGCGGTTCATGTAAAGTGTGAGGAGAGAGGGGGTAAGGCGGCCATCATGCGCTTTCTCCTGAGCTGCCATTTTGTGCCAGTCTTTCACCTAAGATGGTGGCAAGGCTGCAACTTGCGTGCGTGGGAGAGGGCGGGGCGCAGGAAGAGAGAGGAGGATTATGGGATTGAGAAGCGAGTCGCATTGCTGAGGTGGGCATGATGCCACGACGGATGGACGCAAGTGATTTTCGTTCACACGTGGTCCCACTACATATACCCAATGTGGTCATTTTGCGTATTCAAAAAAATCCATGGCCTTAATATATGGCATGCACATGAAAAAAAACACACTCACGCACACACACACACACACACACACACACACACACACACACGCACACACACACACACACACACACACAGACACTCTCA